AGTGACAATAGTCATAAAATTGCCATGTTAATTGTGAGATTGCAAGCTGATCAAAAAGAAAGAAAAAATTGTTAAATAGCAATTTTTCTTTTTTTGGGGAGACTGACAGAAAGATTTAAAAGTATCAATTAATTTAATTTAAATTTTAAGTGTCATTTTTTAGGAATTTATAAATTCGACTCTCAATTTTACAACTTTCTTATCATAAATTTGCAACTTGCTTGTTAAATCTTAATATAATTGAAGGATAAATAAATTTGTCTTTCTTATTAAAATTTAAAACATATGTTATAAATTTATCACAATAAAATTGTAAAATTAAAAGTCAAATTTACAAATTTTGAAAGTTAACACTTAAAACTTAAATTAAATTAATTGATCATTTCAAGACCTTTCTATCTTTCTCTCTAATTTTTTGGGTGAAAGTGAGATAGGATAATTGCATATTGAAGTTTGATGGCTGGGGAAAAAAGTGCATAAAAATCACATGTGAAACTTGCAAAATTTCTAAAAGTTAACACTTAAAACTTAAGACATTTTTATTATTCTCTCTAATTTTTTGGGCGAAAGTGAGATAGCATAATTGCATAGAGGTTTGATGGCTGGGGAAAAAAGTGCATTTAAATCACGTCAAACTTTGAAATACACTTCTGTTTGCCATAGAACTTTGAAATTACCAATTATCTCCACTTTTTATCGTTAAGTTTTAACGTATTTTATCTTAAATATCTTTATATCTTTAGCATTGTTTGGTTTTACTTTATTATTTTTAAATTAAATATCCTTGATAAAAATTCATAGTCATTAATAGCAGATATTCCAGAATTCGATGGAATCGTATCTCAGTTGGGAATACGAGATTTAGGGTTTGTTTGATTTTATTCTCATTTTTCAATTCTAAAAATTATTTTATAAATCAATTTTGTAAAATTATTTTTCAAAATAAAACAAAATAAAAACGTGTTTTGTTTGGAAACAGTTGTATCATACTGATTTTTTTTTTTTGAATTCAGGAAAAATGACAATAAAATTTTTTCTAATTATATAAATAACAATCTAGTCCCTCAAAATTCTATAATTTCATTGAAGTCTTTAGGAACTTCTATGTCAATAAATTTTAAATTGAAAAGGTCATTTTATCCTTATTGACAAATTGTAATTTTTTATTCAATTCTAATAAATCTTTAAGTAAAAGTTGTTATTTCTTAAATAAAAGTTATGATTAAAGTTTGTTATTTTGAAAACCTGTTTTTCAATAACATAAGTTAAACTTTACAAGTTGTGATTTTTTGTTCAACTTTTACAAGTTACAAAATAACACAAATTCTAATTTCTAATTCAAATAAGCTTTAATTTGTGTGCAATGTTCAAATTAGAGAAGATTCAGAACCATCATTCGCCACTGCTAGATGAAATTCCTTGCAACACAAATTCCAATTTCTAATTCAAATATTCTGAAGAATCTAGTAATCTAATGCTTTGATAATGATATCATTATGAATTAATTGTTGTACTCTGTTCTTTTCCCCTCTTATTACAGGGGAAGAAAGAACTTACAATTCAATTCATTTCAGCAATACAACACATTAATGCTGTTAGATCAAATTTTCTGTTTATTTCTTAGTCACAGTCTAAGTTCTCATAAACATGTATTTCCTGAACATATATAAATAAAAAAGTCAGCAACATCTAGCAGAGCAAGTTCGAGCTAGTAATCATATTAAATGAGAAAATCAAGCAAAAAGTTCTAGCAGATAATCAGCAAAAAAAAAAAAAAAGGCAACATATATATAAACGAGACAATAGACAGAAACTCCAGATTATTTCTGGAATAATTGTTTGCAACATGAGCACTTACTCATTAACTACTACAAAATTCTGTATATAATGGCTAAATATGAAAAGAACAGGGAAGGCAGAGACAGAGGGAAGAACATAACATAATATAAAATTCAAGAATGCAATTACATTGCAATTATTATAATCTGTACTGAATGTGGTTCTCCCCTAATTTAAAATCTATATCGTTTTCAAATTTTAAATGTGTAATGATAAACAATTGTTACCTTGTTGCTCTCAATATTATGGGGGAATTAGGATAAATTCTAAATTCACTACGTACAAGAAAATACAAAATTTCTACAAATATAATGGAAGACTTCTATAAATATTTCTCATCATAACTTGATGATATGTTGTCACAAGTAACACTAGTTTCTATAGGCATATTATTATTATTTAATATTTTATTAATTATATTATTAATATTTATATCACAAGTCATACAATCTCATGAATTTTGGTTTGATTCTTTTGAGCCCTTTTATAGCCTAAAATAATTTAAATTTTGAAAAGCATTGTATGCATTTCTTATAATTCTATTTGGATATCCTATTTCTATTCATATTTATTCTAGGCTATAGACCAAAAATGTACGCAAGAAAGGCTCATTATTACAAAATTGTGGATATAAAATGACGCAAAATATGACATCATAACAAACTCCATTATATAATAGCCAGATGGATGACAGTAGCTCAATATATGATGAGTTTTTAAGCACTCATCATATATAGTTGTGTGCATGTGTATGATAGGTATTTACACACCCATCATATAAAGGTCCAAATTCCAGACTATTAAAATTATATAAAAACTACAAACATAGATAACGTAACTGACATAACACTGAAGTTTGCCATCAATAATTAGTTAACGAATAGAGTTATCATTAAATTTCTGTGGGTGCAAATTACAAAGGGAGGGTCTTTATAGAAAGCTAGCTATAGGTTGGTCATTCTTATTGCATTTTCTTATTGTGCTTCATTGACGGGGTGGTCAAAGTCAAGCAAATTGTTATTTTTCCTAAGGCCATTTTTATTATTTTCGTACAGCTCTCATGATTTAGCAATGATGTCAAACCCGGACCGGACCGGACGGTCTAACCGGTCCGACAGTGACCCGCTGACTAAAGTGGTCTGGTTCAACCAATTGAACCACTCAAGCTATTGAACTAGATTGACCCGGAAAGAACGGTTCGGTTTTCATCGAACTAGAGTTAACCCAGAACTCGGGTCCGGTTCAACATGGGTCAATCTGGGTCAATTGAAAAAATAAAAAAATTACTTTAGGGCTTCTACAATTCTGCACCGTCGAGTTGAAGTTTGAAGTTCAGATTGAAGAAACAAAGCACAGAGTCACAGACCACTAGCTGCTCTCTCCCTCTATCACGCCGTCTCGCCTCTTGCACCTCTGGTAGAGTCCAGAATCCATAGACGTACAAACATGAGCTCACTCTCTCGTCTCAGATCAGGGTGATCAGTAAAGTGAGGAGGAATAATCAAATGCTCTCTGTTGCTCTCTTCACCTGGCAGTCCACGAAGCACTTCGTAGCTCGCCGACCGTCGCATTCCTCCGTGATTCTCTGACATCATAATAGTATACCTCTTTGTGTCCTTCCCTCCGATTTCATGCAATCCTAAAGAGTGACCCGTTGAATGACACCTCCCCAAACATTTTCCATTACCTGAATTAAGCTCTGTTCTGCTCACAGAACATTCATCGAACACCTGATGTGCATTTACCTCATTTGGAATTACTATCATGACTTCGTTTTCACCACTGTGGTGCTCGGCCTCAAACTCAGTCTTAGAGGCTAGAGCTTAAAACTCGTCTCTTGCTGACTCACCGTCTCACGCCTCTAGTGAGTCTGGTCTCTCTCTTACCTTTCTCTGTTTCTCATCTTCAATGATCAACTGATCAAGCTTAAAATTTGAAATTTTGATTCATATCCTTTTCGCATCTTGCTTGCCATTCTCAGCCCAAACCTAGATTTTTCATCGCCATTGTCAGCCATTCTTGTCTCGCTTGCCACTCTGAGCTCGTGCCTCTGCCTCTGCCTCTACTCGAGTTGCCTCTAGCTCCTCCTAGCTCCAGCTCGTGCCTCTGCCTCTGCGTGATTCTCATTTTGCTCCAACTTGTTTGATTCTCGGTGTGCTCTGCTCTCCTTCTAGGTTCAATTTCTAGTTTATATGTTCTATCTATGTATTTGAGTTTGTAATTTGTATAACGAGTAGTATGTATGCACAATTCGTCCAAGACTCCAGCCAGCTTGTTTGCTTTATTTTTCATTACTTTGTTATTTATTGATATGGAATTTTGAATATGATCTAATTTTGCTTTCTTTTTCACATTTTATCTGTGCTTTCAATTTAAATTTAGAAAATGTCATCTAAACAAATATCTAGTACTGCATCTACACAATCTGTTAGAGCTAAGTCAGATCTTATGTGGGAGCATTGCACTAAAATACCAAATGAAAAAGGTGGCAAACCTTGCTTAAGATGCCTATACTGTGGAAAGGAATTTGGTGGTGGTGGAATGCACAGAATGAAACAACACCTTGCTGGAAAAAAAGGAGATGCAACTAGTTGTAAAAGTGTGCCACATGATGTTCGCTATCAATTGGGGGAAAACTTGAAAGAAATTGATCAAAAGAGACTAGCTAAGAAATTGATAAAAGAAGAGGACAATCCATTGGAAGTGGATGATGAAATTGTGCAAGAAATAATTCCTTTAAGTTCCTCTCAACTAGCCAAAAAAAGGCATTTGCAGCTGGAGACAAATTCTTTGCCCCAAAGACAAGCTCGGGAGCACAGCCAGGAATTCGAAGTGCATTTGCAAGTAAAGAAGCTTTGCATAGAGTGGATTTAGCTATGATTAGGTGGTTGTATGATTGTTGCATTCCTATGAATGTTGTAAATTCTGTTTACTATCAGCCCATGATAGATGCTATTTCAGCTATTGGCCCTGGTTATAAAGGACCAACTTACTATGCTGTGAGAACCAAATTATTACAAGACATGAAAAAAGAGGTGCAATTATTAGTTGATGAATGTAAAAGCTTTTAGGCTGAGACTGAATGTACAATAATGGCTGATGGTTGGCAGGATTAAAGAAATAGATAGTTGATTAATTTTCTTATTTATTGCCCTAGAGGAATGGTTTTCATGAAATCTGTTGATGCATCGGATATTGTTAATGATGCTCAAAATCTTTGCAACTTATTCATGGATATGGTTGCTTTTGCTAGTGCAGACAATGTTGTCCACTTGGTAACTGATAATGTAGCTAATTACAAAGTTGTTGGAAGGTTGTTAAATGATAAATTTCCTTCTATTTTCTAGTCTCCTTGTGCTACCCATTGCTTAAATTTGATTTTATCAGATATTGGCAAAATAGAGATTGTTAGTAGCTTAGCAACACGTGCATCCATGGTTTCAAAATTCATTTACAACCATGTCTTTTTGCTAGCTTGGTTAAAGAAAAGAGAAGGTTGGACAGAAATCATCCGGTCTGGTGCAACACGGTTTGCCACTACTTTTATTGCCTTGAAAAGTATCTATGAGCATAAGCATGATATTCAAGCTTTGATAACAAGCAAGACAGTTGTAGAATCTAGATACTACTCAAAGGCAAAGGATGTAACAATGATTGTATTGGACAATCAGTTCTGGACTAATTGTAAAATTGTTGTTGAAATTGTAAAACCACTTGTGAGATTGTTGAGAATTGTTGATTCTGATGACCGGCCTTCACTTAGCTATATTTATGATGGCATGTACAGAGCAAAAAGAGCTATAAAGAATACTTTCAGGCACAAAAAATCCTTGTACAAGCCTTACACAAGTATTATTAAGAGAAGGTGGGATTCTCAACTTCGACAAAATCTTAATGCAGCAGCATATCTCTTCAATCCTGCTTTCCTTTATGATAAGAAATTTTTTTTAGAAAGCCAGAGGTTATGCAAGGACATCTTAATGTGATAGATAGAAAAATGACTTCTAATAAAACCAAATTTTTGTTAGAAGGCACACAATACTAAGAAAGGTGTGGAAGCTTTAGTCATCCATTAGCTATAAAATCTGCAAAAACCATGCAACCTGGCATACTTTTATCTTTGATATTTATTATTTTTTATCTTTAAAATATATTCTAATGACTTATTTTTTCTCATGATAGATAAATAGTGGAAACATTTTGGGAGCAGTTGTCCAAATGTTAAAGACTTAGTTGTTAAGATATTAGGACAAAACTGCATCTTCTTCGGGCTGTGAAAGGAACTGGAGTGTCTTTGAAAGAATACACTCCAAGAAAAGGAATAAATTAGAGCATGAAAGATTGAATGATCTTGTCTATATTCATTACAATTTTTTATTAAGGAATAGGTAAATTATTCAAAATTTTGCTTTTATTTGTAGTTGTAAAAAATAAGTTACATGAATCCTTATACTTTATTACTATCGTGCGTTTTTATTAGAGTTGCTAACAAGAAAAAAGCTTTGAACCCTGTTGATTATGAAAGTATTGATCAGATTGATTATTCAGTAATGGAAGAAGATGATTGTTCTTTGCTCAATATTGACGATATAGAACGAGATCTCATTGATGATGACACAGTGCTACCAAAAGCTATCATTCATCAAGAGGATGAGGAAGGTTTGGTATTTTTTACCTAATATTTTCACTTTTTTTTATCACTTATCGTGTGATTCTCATTAATTTGATTATATACATTGAATGTTTGTTTGTGAAGATAATGAGCAAAGAGGCAACGTGGCACATGGTGAAGCTATTGGTGGACTTGATTTACAATTATTTTCTCAAGAGGATGTTAATAGCTTTAGTGAAGATATTGATGCCTTTGAGCCTGCACATGCTTGGATTAACCAAGATCCCCCAATATTTGATAAGCCATGAAAATTTAAACTTATGAGTTATGATGTTGTGAACTTTGTAATGATATGTTTGAGACATATATTTTGGATTTGTGGTATCTTTGTTTGAGACTTTGAGCAATTAGAACATGTTTGAGACTATATTTTGAATTCGTGATGTCATTGTTTAAGATTTTGAGAAATTAGAACATGTTATGCAATGTGAATTTGTGGTGTTGCTTGATATATTATTATTATTTTTGTCAAATTAATGTCTTATATATATATATAGATATATATGCATATAAATATTATTTTTTATTTAATTTTTATGTCACCAGTTCGATCGCCGATCTAACCAATTAAACTATGAGAACCGTGACCCGCTGCTCTTTCCGGTTCAATGTCCGGTCCGAGTTTCAAAACATTGTGACTAGAGTCATTGGCTACAGTAAACAAAAAAAAACTTCATGGAATGTAGTATCTTGGATTCTGTTGGGTATAAAGGATTTAATATCTCTATGTGTGGTGCTCTTAATTTCATAACAAAGATCAGAAAACTTCATATTAATTTATGTTCTATAAAGTGATTCTTAAATATTATATTAGCATTTTTGTTGATGTTTTTAGATAGGAGAATGACAGTTTATAGGTCCTTTAAAAGAAAATTAATAGAGCAACAATTTTACATTTGAAAAAAGAAAATTCAAAATCGATTGCAAATATTGATTCTAAGTTTAAATTATAAACCAAGAGTTGCATTTTTAAAACTTAAATACATTTTTTGTAATTGATTGTTGAGAAAATGATGAAGAGAAAACTGATCAAATATTCATTAATAAAAATGATACAATATGACAAAAATTGATCCTTCACTTGAAGGATTTATTACACTAATCTATCCACTTGGGTGATTCTCAAACCCCATTTTGGGGACTAACTTGAGGTGAAGGCCTATGTTAACTTCCCTCTCGAAGGTAGGATGAAAACTCCTTAGTCAATAGAATGATATGATCCCTTTATGTAGATTTAGGGATATCAACTAACTAGGTGATTAACACTAATCACTCCTAATATTCCAACACGCCCCTCAAGTTGACACCTCTTTTAACTCTAGGTGCTCAACTTGCCAACAACAATTACAAGGAGGAACAAAAATATAATTGGAATATAAACAACTCATTGATCAATCAGACCAATACAAATTAAACCATTCCCTTTGAAGAGCTTTACTAGTTTGCTTTGTTACATTCCTCTCTCTTCAAGTCTTCTCAGCTTCATCTTTGACCTTCACACAGTTCTTACACTGGAACTTTGAGATGCCCAACACGACACTTCTTGCAGGCTCCTCAACCCATGCCCACATGACAACTTTTCGTTCATTATGAAATGAGAAGCCTGAGGCAATTGAGCTTGCCATCCCATTCATATAATTCTATAGAAGCATACATGCATCTAGGTACTCTTTGTATCATTGCAAGGCCAAATATAATATTGGTAGTAGTACCAGTTTTGTAGATTCTGTAATATCTTGTACAGGGCTACAAAAATGGCTAGTATAGAACTTAGTCACAAACCTATAATTATCCTTACCTAAAGACCAACAACAACACACAAAAATAGCTGCCAATTCTTGACATCTTCCTAATCATTTGACAGCACCATTGCCTTCTTTATTCCTCGACCTTAAATCAATACCACTATCATGAAACTCTAATTGCATTTGCTACACACAATACTTTTCCATTTCCACGAGTTAGACTTCCATCTTGATAATGCACCGACCCTTCTGCTCACTTTTCATTAGACACAAGTCTTCATGATCTTGCATTTGCTATCCTTTTATCAACTAATAGCAACATCCAGATTTCATATTCAAAAGTATATGTGAGGTTTTTTTTTTGAAGAAGATCCCCATATACACTTGGTCAACTAAATTTAGTAAAACTAAATCAACTTTACTATGCATTTTCTTTCTTCATTTTTTGAGAAACAAACACACAGAAACCAACCATTTAAGGGATTTCTAAGAAGAAACTTTAGGTTTGTATCTGCATCACTCTTTTCTACTTTAGATTCTTCCTCTCTGCATTTTCTTCTCTTCACAAAAGGTCAAATCCAAACCACAATCATCTCTAGTTTTTGTAAATTTATGCTTCTAAATTAATACTTATAATTCCACCATTGAAAGCAAGGTTGTTCTGTAATCAGATTCAATATTCAGAGAAGGATTTATAGGAATGGCAACTGATACAGCAAAAATAGACTTAGCTTGTCCAATATCTCGATCATGGAAGAGGAATTGCCGGCTTAGGTTACTCTTCTCAATGACATCATCATTAGTAATTGTCAACATCCTCTTAACTACTACAAGAAACACCCATTAGTGAAAGAATCTTTAAGAACTCACATCCTAAAACACTAGATCCGACAACAAACACGCTTCTTCTAATTTCTTTTACACTATAGCTGGGTTTACATTGAGACCCCAGACTCAGAACGTTCGACCATCCTTTAAACACAGTAGCAAGAAATTAGAAGAAACCTAAAATAGAATTTGAGATATAGAATCCCAGTTTTGATCATTGCTCTCTGTTTACAAATCAGGAAAACCATGCATCCTCTAATCCAAAAAAATAAACATTTACAGAGAAAAGATGTCATTCACTCTCTCTTTCAAAGTGATCGCAAATAATAATCTTGGAAAGTCAGATCTTAATTTGCTAATTTAAAGCACTCAACATATCTGGAACACTTAACAAGCCCAAGAATCACAAAGATAAGAGAGATTTTAGGCCCGATGACAGCGTTGACCATGTCCATGGTGGCAAAACTAGATTCAACATTTCAGGGGAAGAAGGGCTTATGCGGAAGCGATACTGACCAAAATGTGGAAGAAAACTAACTTGCGACATTTAATATTGGCCTACCCTTCTCGATCTCGGATTTGTTTCCTCTATACCACTAAAGCCATGACTAAATTTGCCATCATCTCTATCGCCATAGGGTAAGGAATCTTGGAAACTTGCCTCCGATGACAACACAATCTCTCCCAGTTGTATCCTTGGGTTTCGAGTAAGGAATCTTGAAAACTTGCCTTCGATGACAACACGATCTCTCCTAGTTGTATCCTTAGGTTTTGAGGGTGAGTCAGTAACGATCAGCCTCTATCAAGGATGCAACCTTCTTCTTGTTGTTGAAATAGGTATTGGACGATGCTAAGGTTGCATTCTTGGCATCATTTGCCATCGAAATCTAGTATGATAACTAATAAATCGAAAAGAAGGAGAGGAATGATAGAATGAAGGACAAGAGGTTTTGCTTCTGAACCACACCTTTGACAAAGAGAAATGGCAGAGAGAGCAGTTTGACCTATAGCAGACTCATCCATCTTACCCATATCTTGAAAATGCATTATTTCATGTGCTTGGAAGTCATCTTGAAAATGGACCATTTTGGTGCTTCTTGGGCTAAATGCCTGATTCTTGATTTTCAGGCCCAAAACCAGCTTGCTTATAATACCATGTTGAGAAAATGATGAAGAGAAAACTAATCAAATATTTATTAATAAAAATGATACAATATGACAGAAATTGATCTTTCACTTGAAAGATTCATCATACTAATCTACCTACTTGGATGATTCTCAAACCCCACTTTGGGGACTAACTTGAGGTAAAGGCCTATGTTAACTTCCGTCTCAAAGGTAGGATGAAACCCCCTTAGTCAATACGATGATATGATTCCTTTATATAGATTTAGGGATATCAACTAATTAGGTGATTTACACTAATTACTCCTAATATTCCAACACCCCCCTCGAATCTTTAATCATTTCCTCATAGGATCCTAATTTAGAAATAGAATCAGTACATGAGAAGAAATATTTATAAGAAGGAGATATATTAAAATAAGATAAGTAAGCTTGTATGGGATATAAAATAGATACTCCCTTTAATGCTGTTGCCTATTGGACAGCTTTTATTTCTCTATTCCCAATTGTGTCTGAATCTCGTAGGGTAATGCACTTATAATCTTTTAACTTGGGCACCTCACTCTTATGTTTCAGCAATATCACCCATGTTTCACGAGAGAAATCATCAACAATAATTAAAAAGTACTTAAAACCTTGGTGTGTGGGTTCTCTATATAGACCCCATACATCTATATGCAATAATTGAAACAAACTATCAGATTTAGTATTACTTAATGGAAAAGGTAATCAAGGTTGCCTAACTTGAATACAAATATCACAATTATTTGAATCAATAGCAACAATATCATTTCTCATAAAGTCTAAATGTTTAAAAGAACGAAAAGAGGCATGTGCTAATGGACAATGCCATTTATTACTAATATCAATGTTTTGATTACTATGAGAAACCAAAGATGTTTCACTCTTCATATCAACCTTCAACGTGTATAACCCATTATGGAGCTTACCAATCTCCATAATCTTTCCAGTCTTCATGTCCTGCACAGTACAAATCTTATGATAGAATGATATAACACAGAATGCATCATTAGTTAATTGAGATACAAAAATAAGATTGAAACATAATCCAAGTACATACAAAACATTAGTGAGAGTCATGTTATTAGACAACTGAATGGTCCCAACATGAGTAATAGTTAAGAGTTGTCCATTAGGAATCATAATTCTCTTAGTGGGTCTCGAATGTGGTTTATAATCATCAAAAAAGTCTAGAATGCTAATGACATGATGTGATGCACCAGAATTCAACAACCATTGATGTTGAAAAAAATTTAGAATTAAGATAGTCACACAAACCTATAGTATTTCTTACCATTCCCACATAACCATCATTTGATTCCTTCTTAAGAAGTTGAAGGATTTGCTCATATTGCTACTGAGTGAAGGTAGGGGTCACTACATTATCCATAGAGGAAGAAGTAGTTCTTGGTATGGTTCCTGTCTTAGAGGACATCATCTAATTGACTTGCCTTTCTTGAGACTTTTCTATTCGATTACTATGGAAATTAGGTGGAAAGCCTATTATCTGGTAGCGGTTGTCACAAGTA